GGCTCTCATTGCTGGGATGAGGGGGTACAGGACGGTACCAATTTCGCGGCGAGTTAGTGCTTTTGGTTTGGTGGTGCGTTCTATTGACCTGGATGGGAGATAATAGCCAGGTCACTGGAGCTGGGGGTTGCAGGATTGAAAGAAAGAAAAGGGGAGATAGTGTAGGAGAAAGACTAGAGGGCTAGAGGGGCAGGACCTTTGCTTGTGGAATTGATAGAGAGCTGAAACTGGAGATGGGAAACTTTTGCCTGGACGGGTTAGTACTTCCGCTGCTTGTCAGGTGGAGGAGGAGGAGGTCTAGTGAGTGAGTGAGTGAGTGAGTGAGTGAGTGAGTGAGTGGGTTAGTGAAGTGGGCATGGCATGCATGGGCGATAAACCGGACCGTGGACCCCTCACTCGTTATCTACTTTCTATCTAATCATCTCAGTCTGGGTCGGATACCTTAGCCTCCTGATTACTGCCAGGTAGGGAAGGTCACGGACAGCATTATACTGTACTCCGTACACTGGACGTATTAGGTCTGGCTTTGGTGGTGACCACTGAGTTATGTCAAGCGAACTCATCAGTATGTTGGTGAAGGTAAACCAGATGAGTGGTGGGGTGGATGCACTGCAGCGAAGAGACAGACAGCACCGGGACACTCCAAGAGAGAGCATTATCCACCCTTTGTGGCCCGTGCATGCCAGTCTACCATACAGCGAGGATCATAATCCAGTACAGCAAAGCGTACCTTAGTCCTAAGCACCCTGTGCAGACGTAGGAAGAGAAGGCCCAAGCAAGTAACCAAACAACCAAGTGAAAAGCGAGAGAAAGAGGCCATTCGGTCCCTTCTTACTCCTGCGGCTATGCTAGCCACTGTATTCTACTCCCCAAGCCAGCCCATTTTCCCACACACCTGTTCTCCTGCTACCACCACCGCTCTCAAACATTTTCGACCTTTCCCCAAAGCAACTCCTACTTCTCATGCACCTCTGCCGTCATCCAACACCACTCCCCTTCTCTCTCCCTCTCCCTCTCGCACCATCATCATCCGAATCAGCCCATCAGAAGTCAAATCTCCCCCTGGTGTCCCCCGCTCCTCAATAACAGGTTGAGAACTACTATTCCCCGGACGTCGAAGATCACAGGGAGAAGAAGTCCGCGGTTGTCGGAGTCCCACCTTCAGACCAGAGTGTATTAAATAGTGTTCTATTCACCCGCTCGATCTGGCCATTACTACCTCTTCCGTCTCTCCCTCCGCCCCCTTTGCCTCTATTCAGTCTTCTGTAGCTGATGCAAGAGAGACGATTTACCAACACTCACTCCCGAAACTATCGAAGGCAACAACAGCCCAAGCAACAACGATCGAAATCTCCATCGCCCCGCAAGGACCGTGACAAGTTCCGAGCGACCCCGCCCCATGCAGATTGTGACCGTCCTCTGTACCCTCCCCGTGCAGTCATCATCCAGCGAGAGCACCAAGGCGGCACACGCTCTAAGCACTCAAGCAAATCTTCCCACCGGTACGGTATATCTGAAGTAGACAGTTGTATTCGATCAGCCGTCCACTGTCCACTGCGCCAACCGCCGATCGAGATACTTGAGGGTCCGATAGCAACATACTTTCATACTCCTAGCGATCCGGTCACCGTTTCTCCGTACAGCGTCACTCCCTTTCAGGCATCAGCCCTGTCCTACGCGCCAAAAAGAAAAATCGTGCCAAAGTCCCTCGCAACAACTACGAAAGAGACCCAACTCCCCATTGCAGCAATAGTCCTTGGGAATTTGCCTTCAAGGCCGTATAGAATGTGATTGCTTCGCTCAACCATACACAAAAGCCCAAAAGCTCTGGAACGCCATGCTAATCACTCCCGTCCAGATCTGTAAAGTCCAGCCAATTTTGATTTTGAGGATGAGCTATACCTTCAAGAAGTCACAACCCCACTGCGTGGTGCTCGCCGCACATTCCGCAGACCCCAAAGAGATCGCTCCACAGCCCCGCGCAACAATGGCTACAGTGGCCATGACGAGCGAACTAGAGCCATACCTGGCCTCCCTCCGGTCGTACCTGACCCAGAGCGGGCCTCCACACCAGGCTGAAGCGGATTCCGAAGACAGTGCGACCGACACTCCTCGACCTCCTGAGCGCCGGTCGGTGCAACGCGAGCAGGCAAGCTCGAAAGGAGGGAGAGACACCAGTCGTGCTGGCCCACGGAGATCAACGGTGGAGGACCCACCGTGTTCAATCTGCTGATAATGAAGATCGCTCTTCGAGTTGAAAGTTACCCCAAAAACACTGTACATATGAGCCGATGTCCGTCGCAAGGTTATGAACGAGAGGTTTTTCTCGGGTGCACGACCCAAAAACACGGAAACCAGAAGAAATGCAAAGAAAATATCTTACCTTCCCAACCCCATTCCTGCATCACGTTCACCCAATGCAAATTTCCACGAACAGTCTTCTCGAATTCGATATTTTCTAGCGGAGAGATTGCTGAAGTTCGTCGCGGCTTCCCCGCAAAGCCCTTAGAAGGTACCCGATCGGCCATACTCGATCTCCTCCAAGGCTCAGCGTAGCTGCTGGTGAAGCCACGCTCACCTAACCCACGGCTTACGTGTGTTGTTTTGTCAATTTCAAGCCTTTTCGTGGGTAGATGATCGGACTGCTCAAGCCCCGCGGCATCGCGGCGATCCCAAACTTCTCGGACAATCTCGATGCAACGATCAATAGACCCAAGCATGAGGCGTGATTGAATTGCTAGCCATCGATTGAGCACCCATTGGCGATCCTCCTCTTGTTCTGCTTCACACCCAGCCGCCAGAAGAGGAAACATTTGGATAATAGTGGTACGGGAGCTGGGGGGAACTGTGGCGAGCAGCATCAAGACACGCTTGGACAGGTCCGATGCTGGCTCGGAGGGCATTTCAGGAACGGCTTGGTGAAGGTACAGGAGTGTCGCCCAGCGGTAAGCGTGTGCGGTTTGAATACTATGCTGTACCTCCGATGTTGGGTCATCTGGGGGTTCGAAGCAGCTGGGGGGCTCCCATTGCTCAACCAAGGTTTTCAGTTCTATGGCCTGCGAGACAATAGAGAGGGAGTTGGACTCGGTTCGGCGAACTCGCTGGATTAGGCGCGCAACTTGGTGGATCAAGGGGAAAAGGGTTGTCGCGCAACCCATTAGAGGGTCGATCTCGTGCACCGCATCCTTGGGCAACTGGAAAGCAGAGGTATCTACCTCCTGATCCCCGGATTCTTCCCGGGATGTCAGGCGAGAAATCACATCCATGTATAGCCAGGTGTTATACAGAAACCGAATTCTATCCAGGTCACTGCCGCACATCCCGCTTTGAAGACCAAATCCTACAACCTGTGACACCAACGCCTTGGCTCCCCGCAAGTGCTGAATACATGTGCGCGTATGCTGATCCCATGTCTCCGCGAATGCCAGCGCGAGACTCGTGGCCAAGGCTGCATCTGCTCTCATATTCTGTATGTCGTGTACCATGTAGGTGATGCTCTGCCGCATATGATCCATCCCATGAACCCTGAGGCTGGGAATCTCCTTGCTGGAGTGAAACGCTGCTAAAGAAAATACAGCATGATATAGCGCTGGAGTCTCCTTGGCTAGAGGCCAGATTAGTGTCCGCCATGGGTTCTCGTGGGCACCGTCCTTCACAGACAGAATCCCACATGTGAATCTGTCGAACTGCAACACCAGCATTTCGGGACTGACTATGCTGAAAGCCGGCTCTGAGAGGATCTTCGGGGTAACATTGGTATTCTTGGATTGCGCAGGATTGATGCACTCTGTGCTGTTCAAGAAAGTCGACCCCAAAGGTAGTTCTGACTTCCTTATAATCTCCTCGATGTCATCGTTTTCGACCTCCATCAAGGCCTCAAAGCTAAAACTGTGGTGCCTTTCCGGGCTGTCGTGTTGGGACACACCACATAGGGTGGGTCTGGGTTGCATACCTGCATTGGACATTGATACATCGGATATATATGAGGATGGTTCCAACGGTGGGATCTCGGTTAGTGATGGGGCCAGGATGCCTTCATTTAGGCTTGCTATATCTAGCGGGCCTATGAGATTATTCGTAGGGACAAATAGATGTTGCTTTGGTACTGCATCCACTTCTGCACGCTCTGGAGTCGGCTCATCCCCTTTCGAAAAGCCAAGCGTGAGTGCAGACCTTCCACTCCGTGGTGAGAATAGAGGCAAAGAATTAGACAGGGTCCTCGACCATCCCTCAGTGGACTGTGAGTCCGGAGACGTAGAAAAGTCAAGGCTAGACTTCCGACCCGGGGGTGATGAGTTGGCTTTGGGGCATGCATGTCAGCAAAGTACAAAACCAACGATTTTAAATAAAGTAGGGATACCTTTTTTGCTTTTCGTCGACACGTTCTTACAGCCAATGTTAGTCTCTTCGAAAGGGCGCCATTTGAAATCTTTCTTGTATCCTCCACACTCCACCTTCCGTTTCTTACATTGAAGGCATGTCGGCTTGGATTCGTCACATTTCAATCGTTTTGCCTTGCAGGTAATGCAGCCTGGGTCATAGAAATGACAAGAACGTCAGCGCACTGCGCACCCTGAGAACGTCCGTGCCGCCTTCTCTCTGATGCTGTAGTTCCACTCCAGGAACAACTCTGTTCCCATCTGTCGACTCATAGGGTACTAGGAATGAATGGTACCGTACCGTTACGGCTTTTTGACTGCTTCGGTTTGTTAGGATCCCTGGAGGCACCAGGTTGGCCCGAGGTAGGCCTTTGAGAGGAAGAAGGAGGCTTAGAAGTCCCTTCTGTTGATGGAGGCGAAGGTTGAATGTCTAAGATAGCAGACGGGGAAGGGATCTTAATGTGTTCCATGCCCGAATTATACCTGATGATGACATGGACTCCGCCAGGTTCAACGTGGTAGTATTTGATGGAGAGGAGAGAGAAGGCTAGAAGTGTGGTTGTTTATCCGGGCAGGAAGGATAATGCCGCGGAGTATAATCTAGGCGGGCGAAGGAGCAAGAAATCACGATCTGCTCGATCCGGGTTGTGAACGAGATAAGGCTCTTTAGAAGAGCCAGATGGCAGAATAAGCAGCGGAGATAGGAAAGGTGTGGGTGGATGATAGATAACTCAGTGCCCCAACAAGGCCCCGGACAGTGAGGAGAAAGCGCCATGAGGGTGATAAGAGTCGCACTAGAGCAGCAGGTTGCGGAGACAGCTGGTGCGAGTTGTACAACGCGGATTCGTCGGTTTAAGGCAGGAGCTCAGACAAAAGCCGGGTTTGCATTGGAGCCAGAACAATTGGAGCTGGAAATTGTTCATTTCCTGCATTATTCGATGATGATAGATGGAGGGGGAGGGGGCGGAGGCAAACAACAATCCATTCCCATAATCGACATCCCCCACAACCTCCGTCCGTCCCAACCATCGATCCACCAATCTTTCTCAAGCGGGCAGTCCAAAGACAACGGAATGGAATATAGCTACCCCGGTAATCTCATTGCAGGGAGATGCAGGCCAGCGCGCAAGAAGGTCACAGTCGTCGGCAGGAAATTGAGGGGGTGCCACACGAAGAGCGGGTTGGAGAAACGAGAGGAATCGGCGAGGTTCGACTGGTCACGACTACCCGGAATGGTGGGAGGAGATCCCCGTGACCATCCCGCCTCGGTACTTTCTGTACAGCTGCAGTCGATTGCATTACCCTGCCCTCTTTCAATCACTCACTAGACTACGGAGTAGGTTCTATGCAAATCCGCATTAATCTTCAATCTAATGTCTCTCGCAATCTGACAATGCATACGACAAGCAGCGTAGCTACCGCAGCTTCCGCGGAGTGGAGTAAGTCAACCAGAACAAAGAACTGATATCAACACTTTATCCCTTGCTACTATGTACTGTACTGTACGTTTCATTCCCCTTCGACGGTCGGACACCTGCTTAGGTTGGACAAAGGAAAAGTCTAGCCAGCAGTAGTCCTCGAAAGTTCTGACCCCAATCCTCGGCGCAAAGCCATATGTGAGGGGGTCACTGATCACACATGGCTTGGGAAGGTATGTGGTCAGTCGACCGGACCGTCAAATAATTCTCCACGAGTTCAAATGCCATGCCTTGATTCTAAACCTTCACTGCAGGGTCATCGCATGATGAACGATGTTGGACAGTCCTTTCAGCTTCGGAAAGACCCACTGGCCTGGGATGGACATGGGCCACCGAGATATCTACCAACTTCGTGTTTGTTGCACTGTTTGTGGCAGAATTTAGACTTCTGCCCAAGCAACGATCGTTAGCGACCTAGATCATCCTGGTCGCTCATAGCCTTCGCAGTAGTCTGTGACATCAGGTGTGACAATTAAGCTTTCTATGCCATCGAGGTTGTTAGCGGATGAACGGAGTGTATGCAGTGCTGGTTACCTGAGAGATATCGAGCGAGCACTTGCAGCAGAAATGGTGTATCCTGGACCCATGCTTGAACATAAGGCTGAGTTCATGACTGTGTCTCGAACGAAGATGACACATGACGTATGTTTCAACTTCAAAGGAGGGACCGTCGTCGAGAGGAGAGGCGAACGCTTGATGTCGCCTCTGCCGCGCGCTCATTATCGTCGGGCTTCGGTTGGTTCTTGGACCCCCATACGGGAGCGGAGTGGAGATCGTAAGGTAGGCGATCAACGAGGGGTCCGATAAGTTCTCCGCACGCTATCAGAGAAGCTGGCAGGAAGATGATGCAAGCGTTCTAGTCCGAATTCTCTGAAACAACCTCTAGTGCACAGAGATAATAGAAGGTCAATACCTGAAGACTTGTTACTCGAATATTGTAATTAGCATTATATGATGCTATGAGAGTAGTGGGCGTTGCCAAGCAGACTACATCTGATTCTCCGACATCGCTTGCCAGGTGGGGTTTCAGACATACAATGCTTACGGACTGGTTACCCACCCTGGCGACAGGACCAAAGCCTTACTTAAGTCGCATGGAATATAAAGGCTGTCGCAATCCTTGCGGGCCGTTGCCACTTGATTCTCAGATTTTAGTATTTGAAATCCCGCGACGTTGATTGCGACGGGTGTGGGGAGGATAGCAAACATGCTGAGGGAGCAACGTGACTACATTGTAGCTCAATCTCTTCGTATGAGTAGCCCACTCGTGATCTCCGTCATCACTTACCAGTCTCAGTACTGACGAAGAATTTGTTCTGGAGTCGATGGGGGCTTCTCATAAACTACTCTTGGTTCAGTCTATGGTGTGTAGAATTCATAAAACTTGTGCCCAGCAAGTGGACAGACTTTCTGAGCTACCTGTTCCAATTTGTTCCATCATACAGGCCTACCGTAAGTTTTAGGCATGAATATGACAGTTGATGCTTGCAATTTGGCTCCACCTATGATTAATCTCTAATGAAGTAGGATGCTAAATCGCGCGTGCCGGCTTCACTCCAAATCTTTGGGCTAGTACCACAAGTTGAGCCACAAAGAGAGTACTTCTAAAAGCATTTGGGTCATCATCATGAAATGCGCGTGTGAAGGTGTACTGGACCTTGCCCCAGTCAGCAAAGCCCAGGTTCTGAACATTGGTCTCTGTAAGTAACCGCTTCATAGTGTGATACACTGGACCATTCTCCTTGTATTTAGTTGGACCAAGATATGGTTGCTTCACGCGATTCGAAACCTCTTCGGTGATGAAAGGTCTCATGGCTTCGCGAAGAACATGTTTTTCACGAAAGATCTTTCTCACTGGGTCATATCTTATCTTTAGACTTGGCGGTATAGTATTCACATATTCTGTGAGGTGATGATCGAGAAACGGTGGCCGCGTCTCCACCTGAAATACCATGTCTATATTGTCACCAATATAACGGAGAATGCCGTTAGCTAGCATTGACTTGGTCCACTGGTATTGAGAGGAATTTAGCGAGTGCCATTTCTGTTCCATGTTGTTGATGACCTTCTCACAAAAGCTTCGGAAAAAGGACAATTCTGGGTCGCCTTGGGTGTATTTCTCTGTCCATGACTGAAATGGTAGTTGATTGAACCAAGCAAGTGTTGGGAATATAGAGGTGTGGCTGAGACTATGCTCATTCCCTGACTTGACGGTCACCTTTGCTACCGCTTGTGCCATTCTTCGATTGACGGTAGCCTCCATCTCTTCTCGGCTGCCGTTGACGGCTAGAGATGCGGGCCATGCGTGGTCTGGCTCACTCAAATAGCTCCACATCAGATCACTGTATCCTGCAAAATGCTCGTCTGATCCTTCCCCTGTGAGAACAACTCTTTTGCCTGCGTTGTGAGCGGCTTCTGCAACGGCCAGTCGACCCATCCCGTCCACGTCAGGGAGCGGCGTTTCCGTGTACCAGATTGTGTCCTCCAGTCGAGACGCGATGGTCTCTTCGTCCAGCAACACTGCGTGGAAATCAACTCCAAGCCACTCTGCAGTCCGCCGGGCAATCTCTATGAACTATCAGATTGGAGAAGATAGGGGGGAGAAGTGGCTCGATCGGGGAGGAAACGAACCGGATTCATCGATCCCCGACTCTTTCTCAAACTGCACCGTGAAGCAGCTTAGCCTTGAGGTGTCACCGGTCATTTCATTTCCAAGTCTTGTTCCTTGCTTCATCAAATGCGCTATCATGCCTGCAACTGCAGAGGAATCCAGCCCGCCGCTCAGGAAGACACCAACACCCACATCAGCGCGAAGGCGAAGCCGCACCGAATCGAGCAGCAATTCTCGCACGCGAGCGATTGCCTCAGCTTCGGTGCCTGCATAGACAAGCCTCTACATACAATCAGCGACGTACAGGTGGCTAGGAGTGAATATTACTCGCCTTGTCAGGATACTCTAAATCCCAGTATGTCTGCAACGCGAATGGCTGGAATTTGTCACTCACGAGCATTTGACCAGGTTCAATCTAAATCTAGCCATCAGCTTCGGTCCAGCTCGTCTCTAATCGCTAACCTACCCGGTGCACTCCCTTGAAGTACATATCCGCCCCATGCATCCATCCCACCCCTCTAAGATTGGCAATATCCCACTCAGGGGCCCATCCAAATGGCAAAAAAGATTTCATCTCAGTCGCAACGTGAAGCCTTCCATCGATAATGGTATAGTAGAGCGACTTGATGCCATATCTGTCTCGCGCGGCTATAAACCGGTTGTGTTTCGCATCCCAAAGTACCAAAGCGAATTCTCCTCTCAAGTGAGAGACGAACGACAGTCCATAACGGTGGTATAGGGCAATGACAATCTCACAGTCACTCTTGCTAACAAATTCATATTCGTTAGCCAGCTCACTTCGGATCCGCTCGTGGTCATAAAGCTCTCCATTAATGACGGCTTGAATAGTATTATCTTTATTATGAAAAGGTTGGTTTCCGGCTGGGCTAAGATCTATGATCGAAAGGCGTACATGCCCAAAACCTGCGAATACTGTTAGCCCCCTTTCACAGCATAGGAGGTGGTTGACCGACCAACTCGTGTGTCAGGGCTGATCCACTGGCCACGCGCATCAGGACCTCTATGCTTGACCAAGTCTAGACTGTCGTTTATCTGAGATGCTAGCCTCTGGGATGACACAGTGGTGTTCTCATCATGAGCGACTCCATTCAGAGCCAAGAACGCCGTCAGTCCGCACATGTCGCATTCGCTCGATTCTGTCCGAGCTTCTTTAGGAGGAAGGCCAACAAAGGTTATATTTTGTTCCAAATGCCAGCACTTTCCCCCGCTTTTATGTTTCGGCATGTTCATCGGTGAGATTACTCCCAAGGCCTGGTATCATGTGCCATCTGCCAATATCAGGCATCCTAAAGCTCCTGCAGAAACCCTCAAGAGGCTAGCGCTGTTGCACAAACCTGCGCTCCACTGCTCTCCCATTACTCCTGGGCAGGCTTTGACATCTCCTTACTGGGGTTCGATAAAAGGCACTTGTTATCTACTGCTAGGAAATTTGTGCAGAAAATTATCGTGGCATGAATGAATCGTAGATTGACTTGGAATGCAAGGATACCTAAATCAAAAGACAAATCTCAGCCTGACACGTCAGAGAGTCAGATACCGACTGAACGGTTTGACGCAACCTAAGACCATGCAAGTCAACAGCATAGCACCAGTACGCGCATTCTCAGTCCTGCACGCAGACTCAACATGCCACTGTCTCATATGATATTCCAAGTATCGACATATCCGCCTACAAAATGGCAAATCGGAAGACGAACGAGCGTGCAGCTGGTCTTCACCGCTATATCGGAGGGCCAGCATATGTATATTTTTCAATACAAGCTGTGGCCTTGGAGTAGGAACTGTCTATCTGATGTACAATCATAACAGGACATGACTCGGTTGGCTGCCGTCATGCGGGTTTCAGGCTCCTAAATGCTCGAGTCAGCCAACAGCATAGCGAATGTATGGCCTAGGTAGTTGCGCTCGAATATCTAGCAAATCTATTCCAATTCTCTAGTTTTGGCGAGCTTTCCTTTTTTTTTTTTTCCTCGCAAAGATCTGTAGGACGAGAGACGAAGTGCCCGCGATTACCATGACACGATCATTCCGGATCTACCAATCTGTCTATATGACAGGTATAAATTGGAATGTTCAGTACTCCAATAATCTCAAATTTAAGAGTCCCAGACTGATCTCCACGTGATATTACATTATCCTCAGCATTGATGGCTTCTTTACTAAGGCGGACCAGCTGCTTTAAACTTCAATGAATGGACATCCTGTATTCTATAGGTTCAAGTTGTTAACGTCTTGTGGCCAGTTTAATTGAGAGTAGAGTGTACAGACTAGCCAGGTGCATGACCTCAGGTACACTATATAAGTCATATTCTTAGTCTAGGTGTTCTTTGTGGTTGTTCTTTGTGGTTGTATTCATAGCTGGCTAGCAACTCGACATTCTTAACTATGAATTCGCATATTCTCAGCTCAACTACAGAATCTTATAAAACTGTTTAACATTATACACTTTATGAGAACACTGCCTAGGCAGGCATATGCAATTCTTTGAACAGAAAGAGTCTAGTATGCGAAAAAAATCTTCGTCTCTTCGCAAGGGCTTAGTATAAGTAGATCGAGATCAAAGCTGCCAAAAGCGTCCAGTTATTCCAGCATTCGGTGATTAGATACTGTGAATGTTGACTAGGCCGCTGTAGCTTGGTGAATGTATAAATGAAGAGTTTTCATCTCCGCGCTGAGTCGTTCATCGTTCCTTCCCATCTCTAACATGTCCCTTTATAGTGAGTACCTCCTCTGTGAGCACCACTCCATCTACACTCATCCTTCTCGCTTCCCAGAACATCATCACTTCCCAGAACATTATCACTTCTCAAAACATTATCAACTCCCAGAACATCATCACTTCACAACTCGACCACCAACTCCACTCTTCAAGATGACTATCTCGTACCCTAATCTGAGAGACACCAGTCGTTTCCCCGGCTTTGCCGCTATCCCCGTCGAGGATCTCGACACCCACGAACTGACTCCCGGAAGAGATGGCTGTCTCCTTCTCGAGATCCTCGCTTTCGAGACAGTGCCCTCCCTCGTCATCGGGACCCGCAGCACTGATCTACACCTTGTTACCCTGCGGTTTGAGGGACCGGATCAAGGCCGTGCTCTCAGCCAGTGTCCACACCTGAAAGTTGGAAATACCATCGCCATCATGCACGCCCGCAAGCATCAGTTCGGAATTGAGGTTTATGGCATCCGTGTCTTCGAATATCGCGCACTCAAGGTATGAATCTCTGAGCCCTGACAATCACGTTCCTTACCTGGTGAACTGATACTAACCCATGCGACTTAAGATCATCCCGACGTCGTTGGACGAGCTTCTGGAACTCAGCGATGAGATGAGAACCTGGCCTCTGAACTTTGCTGCCCATCAGAGGTGTCACTGGTGTCGTAATGTGCCTGACCAGATCATAACCTGCGATGGCTGCGGTGTCATTGGATACTGTAACAGCGTAAGGAGATCTCCCTCGAAAGATCTCACCAGTATCGGGAAAGATGAGCCTGCTAACTCTGTACTAGGGCTGTAAGGCGGGGAGCTGGAACGTCAACAAGCACAAGGAGTTCTGCGCGGTCATCCAGAACCAGAACTTCCGTTCCCTCATTGCTGAGATGGAGCACGAGTAAGCCTTATTGAACTGAAGGGCGAAGGCATGATCACGAGGAAGCTGCTTCGAGCACAAGGATGATCTCTGCATCACCTCTGGCTTTATGACCTGACTTCATGGCCTTGTTTTATTATGTCGAACAAGATGTTCTGTTCTTTCCCACTGTTGGACCTACTGTATGTACAGTACATGTTCCCATTCAAACGGGTCTAAACAAATTTCACGGAAAGGTAAAAACCTGAAACCACAAAAATACGATTTCAGTTAGTATTGCATCTTGTTTCCCAAATTTCAGTAGTAGTGAATCAGCTAGTCAATACTGTAATAGTGTAAGTTACTATCCCCAAGCTAGTAAGTACCAGCCACCCCGGATAAGCGGGATGTGTGGATTGCCCGCCCCCAGACCGAGGCTGGTTTGATCGGCCGGCTTGCGACGGTGCTCGGACCGAGTGCCACCTTAAAGTGACCCCCTCTCCCCAGACACACATCCCTCCCTTCTCCACTGAGAACGCAAACCTTGTGGTATCCGAACGCGACTCTTTGGATGATGCTTCGCTCTTTTTCTCGTCGGCTCCCTCGACGTATCCCTCTTCGATCCGTCACTGAAGGCTGTCTGTCGCGCTCCGCTGTGCGCTCCTTCACATGCGGTTATCCGCGGATGTCGGCATCATCGCTCTCCCCCGTGGAACCACCCGTCTCAGCAACGTTACCTGCGGACTCATACCAACTTCTTTCGACAGCAGACAAGACCGGGGTAGCTGAGGATGCTCTCTACGAACAGCAAATAAAAGATGTGGAAGAATGGTGGCAATCTCCCCGCTTCGAGGGCATCAAGCGGCCTTACTCCGCCGCGGATGTCGTCAGCAAACGCGGTTCCCTACAACAAACATACCCGAGTTCGTTGATGGCACGGAAGCTCTTCCATCTGCTGAATGAGAAGGCAGCGCAAGGAAAGCCTGTTCACACGAGTATGTAACGACGATGGTCTCCCGGCCCTCATTGAATTTCTTTCTGGTGTGCTAATTATTGCCAAGTGGGCGCCATTGACCCGGTCCAGATGACGCAGCAGGCACCTCACCAGGAGGTCCTGTACATCTCGGGATGGGCTTGCTCGTCACTCCTGACGACGACCAACGAGGTGTCTCCCGACTTCGGCGATTATCCATACAACACGGTGCCCAATCAAGTCCAGCGATTGTTTAAGGCGCAACAGCTGCACGATCGGAAACAGTGGGACACTAGGCGGAAGCTGACCGCTGAACAACGGAAGTCGACTCCATATATTGATTACCTGCGTCCGATTGTGGCTGACGGTGATACGGGGTATGTGCTGTGCTCACTTTGACGGATTCGGCCAGGATCGCGTTGTTAACGTTCCATACAGACATGGTGGACTTTCCGCTGTACTGAAGCTGGCCAAGCTTTTCGCGGAGAATGGCGCTGCCGCAGTGCACTTCGAGGATCAGCTTCACGGCGGAAAGAAATGCGGTCACCTAGCTGGCAAGGTCCTTGTGCCCATTGGGGAGCATATTAACAGATTGGTCGCAGCGCGCTTCCAGTGGGATCTAATGGGGACTGAGAACCTGCTTATCGCACGCACGGATTCCGAAAGTGGACGGCTCATCAGCAGCGCTATCGATGTGCGCGACCACGAATTCATTCTTGGGGTGACGGAGGAGGTTGAGCCACTCGCCGAGACCTTGCAGGCTATGGAAAGGGAGGGCGCTGCTCCTTCGGAGATCGATGCCTATGAATCCGACTGGGTCAAGAAACACAAGCTGGTCACCTTTGATGAAGGTCTGTTGATGATCTTACTCTCACTCTTCTCAGCATCTGAAACTAACCACGTGGTGTGACATAGCCGTCGACGCGCATCTCGAAGCAGAAAAGGCTCCTCAGTCTGCCCGGGACGCATACAAGAAGCGTGTTCAAGAGAGCCCCGATCTATCTATCTCCCGCCGCAGAGTCCTAGCCAGCGATTACACAAAGAAACCTGTTGTCTGGTCTTGTGATAGCCCCCGAACCAGGGAAGGATATTATCACTACCGTGCTGGGTTCCCCGCCGCTACAAAGCGAGCACGGGAGTTCGCACCGTATGCGGATCTTCTCTGGGTCGAGACCGGTGATCCAGACGTTGCGAAAGCAGGGTCGCTGGCAGGAGAGGTGCGCAAGGCGTTCCCCGGCAAGAAGCTGGTATACAACCTGAGTCCGTCCTTCAACTGGATGGGACATGGCTTCAACGAGGCATCGCTCAAATCGTTTATCTGGGATCTGGCGCAACATGGGTCAGTTAGCCACTCCTCCACTGAAGACACAGAAGACTGACTTGCTTAGGTTCGTACTTCAACTCATCTCGCTTGCCGGACTACACAGCAACGCAACGATCACGACAGAACTCTCCCGGGCTTTCAAGGAAGATGGTATGCTCGCTTACGTGCGCATGGTTCAAGCTCGGGAGAAGGAGCTGGGTGTGGATGTGCTTACACACCAGAAATGGAGTGGTGCACCCTATCTGGACGGCATCCTTGGGGCAATCCAAAGTGGCAGTAGTAGCAGCAAGAGTATGGGCGAGGGCAACACAGAGAAGGGTAAGTGGAAAGCACCAATGCTGATCTCTAGACTTCTGGCTAATGACCTCGCAGGCTTCTGAAGGAATTGTGAATGGCTTTGTAACCTAATGATAAATGAGACGCAACAACAATTCTTAGTGCTAATGATTCTTCCAACATCGTAATTTGACACATAACTCCCGGTATAGCCTACATCCACCGACACTCCAGGAATCGAATGAGTTGATGCTGCCCATAGCCTTTACATCATCTGTCGAAGGATACCTTCTCATATTGCCGTTCTCGAAGCTTGTGTGTGGTTATGAAGAACGCTGATCGAGCGAGCTCTGGCGAGAAACGAGGGATCTCATCGGGCTAGGCGTGGAAGGAGCTATCGAGAGAGCCTTCAGAACGAGACTTGGGAGCTCGCAAAATCCCCCATTGAACGATGTCACTCTCGCCATTCCTGATTTTTTCTCCAATCTTTCATCGCTTCTTCTTCATTCAACAGTTTCTTTTTGCCATTTTCCGAATGTTTGCAGGAGTATGCGTTATCCGAGGATTGTCTCAATACCCCTCTTCCACTGCCCAAACCAGCGAGCCAGTCGCCGGCAAGTCATACAATGGACTGAGGCATGTATCTCAGCAACGCACTGTCGATGGAACTGCCTATCCCCCTTGCTTATCTCGCATTTAGCGCAATATACCGACAAGTATCGGTATTCCTCGAAAGACACGCACGGCGTCGTTTGCGACAAGCTATATTTCCTCCATGCCCGTGTTGTCACTATCCAAGCTTCTCAGGACCAGTTTTCTGACGCGATGCCTTCGTTCGTTGTATATCATGCTTTCGAGGTCGTCTTCGTGGAACGGTGGACGGGCAGCAGGATGAAGTCATTATGCAAGAGGAATTGGGATGTAAGTCCAATTTGGCTCATTTCCGGCATTGATCTGTAGGTCATTCAGGTTAACCATCCCGTTTTATTATGCAGTCATCTTCAAATTAGATTAGTATGGAGCATCGCTAACTCGATACTGCTTCTCTAGGAATGGACGACATTCTCACAAGATGCTACTCAGAGATCCGTGCAGTGGCACTGGGGCTGGTGTGAAAACAATTTGGGATGCAGAAAGGAGTTGAGATTGCTGCACAGAAGGAAGAATTGAAGATCAAAAGAGAAAGATGGGGTGTGTGGAAGACACAACAGAAAGCAGAAGGTGGAGAGGTCAGTCAATCTATCCTCCCTCACGCTGTCGCAGAATTCACTTACAGCACCACCTCACTTGGTACCTCCCTCGTCTCTCCGACTTCAGCGATTATTCTGTTCTACTTCCCTAGTAACTAGTCAACACAAGACCTGAACCTTACTTTTATTTTTCTCTTTACTCTACACCCACCCACCACAAGCTTTCCCAAGCAACAAGAATCTTTCGTGCAATTTTTCTCACCCACAAAGTACTAACCTCAACATTGTGGCTCGGCCAGTCGGTTCTCAGTTTATCTTGAGCTTGCTAGAGGTCATTCAGATGCACTGTCAAACCTTAGTAGTACATGTCAGAAGCCTACTGTGTCAGTAACGGATCGTCATCTTAAGGTAAAGCAGTTTCCTTGATACCTGATACCCATAAGAATTACCACTAGATCTCTTGACTGCCTCAACTAACAACACTGCCTCAGCTAACAAGTCTGTCGAAAGGCGAAACTCACTGGATTTTCCTCCTCTTGCGCAACCTCATCAAGCAAGGGGCTTGTCTATCTTTGATTCGACTCTCTGGACCTGGAACGCATCCTTTAGCTATCACGGGGCCAATAAATTGCCTTTGCGTGATACGCTGGCTTTTTTTCAAAGACGAATTCAACATGGAAAAGCTGCCAAACGAGCTTCTGCTGCTTATTGCAGAAGAGAACATACAAGAATTTGAATACATGAATTACTTGCCTCTGCTTCTTGTGTGTAAGCGCTGGCGTTCGTTGTTTCTTTCGCATGCCTACGCATGCGTCAAATTGGATGTGAAGCAGATCAAGTCTTTCTTGGTCACTGTCCAGGGTAACCCATCCATTGCGACGTCTATCGTCTCTCTGCAAGTCGAAGCGTCAAGCATCACCTTTGAGGTCACAACAAACGTCATTTCTGGCATCCGCAGCCGTGTCGCAGAGCTGAGCCAGTCAGCAGAAGAAACTGCGGAATGGGAAAAGGAGTTGGTTAGAGGCAATCACGATGCGTGGATCGCTGTTCTTCTGACATGTCTGTCGAAACTTTCTTCTCTTCATCTGAATTCTGCAATGCTTATCGGCAAATATGTTCGCGGTATCGTGTCACGGGCAGTAGCACGACAGGCAGCCTTCACACCGATACTCCAGGAGCTCCAGACATTTGGTTTTGAACCCATGTATCCAGGCGGCTTGTGGATACCCTTTCACGCGGGCGATCTTCCGCCGTTCTTCCATCTACCAACTATGAGACGCGTCGAGCTGTGGTGGGCACTGATAGACTCAGACAACATGAATGGCGATGCCACGGCTGGCCTTGAACTTAAACGGGGAACTCTGCCCATCACTGAAATCGATTCACTTGGCAATGGGAGACATGGTCTAATTCAGTTCATAGCAGCCTGCCAGAATCTCGAAAGTTTTCGTTGGCGGCATATAGATATAGAAGTGCCTAGGAAGTCATTTAGAAGATTTCGACCTAGGGCATTTCACCGTTCCCTTTCGACGCAGAAACATAGCCTGGCAGAGCTCTGGCTTAATCATCAAGATATGTTCGATGTTTTTTCAGACCTTGAAGAAGATGAAGGTGGTGAGCAAGAGTCTAAACTCGATCCTCCTGACAATTGGTTCGGCTCGTTGGCGGATTTTGTGGAATTGCAAGAGCTACGCATTCGTGTTGTCAATCTTCTAGACCTCCGCTCCTCATGTCCCGAACCAGGCAAAGCTCTGAAGAATATCCTGCCTGGAAGTTTAGAGCGTCTCTTCATTACAGAGTGTCATGCAGAGCATACCGGTCGAGTCCATCAAGAGCTGATGGAGCTTTTCGCATGCAAGACGCAGAAGTTTCCCAACCTCGAACTGCTTGTCATCGCGTGCAAATTTCTCAAAGAGTTGGAGCCGCCCGCTGCTGCTCGATGCGAATGTGTGCCGGGTAGCCTTCAGAAGTCATTCATCGAGCCTATCAAGGCAGCTGCAGAAGGTGTCGATGTCGATTTTAGAGCTGCGTACAAGATAGATCATTATGAGTGCTATGTATATGCCACAATTTGAACGACTTGAATGCAAAGGGGAAGTCTGAAATCCGTGACTGGTTACCGGATGGTCTCCTCCTCATGCAAGTTCTGTTCTCTCTCTTTGTGTTGCGGCATAACTCCGAATACTGGGAAGCTATGATTTAAGTGGTTTCCATTTATGTCACGAGTAATTAGCACGTCTCTTACATTCAAACTCATAGTCAATGTAGCTTCAGCTTCCTTGTACTGCGCGTTATTTACTCAAATTCCTCCTTTTCGTGTAAACAAATGCGCACGCAGTACAGCCTACCCCCTCCAAACAGGTAGCCTACAACACCAAGCACATCTTTGTATCTCGCAAAAACAAATTCCTCCTGCACTCATCAGGATCTGATTCTCATTATCCCCAAACACACCTCAAAGACAGAACCCCAATCCGAACAAAAGCAATTACCCCCACCATCCCAGAACACACCCTCTCAAGTGCATCACTCAGGAGTCAAAACCAGCAAAATAGTGACCAATGAAACGAAATAGAAGTGTAAACATGGTACCTAATGTCCCTTCATTTGGAGTATAAGTTACTTCCCATACCAGCATTAGTTACCACTTTCCCCAATCGGGCAGTAGGGTGCTGGGTACTATGAGGTTTGGTAATCAAACCAGGTACCGAACGAGGGTATACCTTACTCTGAGGCGGTAAGCATACCACCTCCACGGAAAGTACAGTTACAGACATACCCGCCGAAAATACCGAACCGCGATGCGCCAACACCACTCTTACTTTACTCCCCGCCAGTAAGGAAAATATATTTCAGGGTCGCGATCTACCGGATTGCAGATGCAGATAAGAGATCGTAGCGGTTTGGTCGGTTTACACTAATTGACTGTATTGAGAAACTGGGCGATCAACATATGCATCGCTCTGGAAACCTTTAGTGACGGTATTAAAGGCGTTGATCGATATGCCAGAGATCCCAATGGGCTGCAGCAACAATTGTTTTCTACACCTAGTTGACTACCGTGATCAGCAGATGGCTCCCCAAGATCTTCAGCTGCACATTAGACACACACGCACACATGACATATACACACGCGCAAGCAGAAAAAAGAAAGACATTCCATTCTGCAAATGAATCATATGTCCGTGACTTCGATACGGGTACAGACCAACGAGAGAGATATTATGACCCCGGACAGAACGACACTGGTCATGACAATTTGGGTTCCTGGATGCGACAACAAACACGGCGTAAAAAAAAAAAAAAAAAAAAAAAAAAACAAAAAAATAGGACATTGAAGTTCTTACACAAACAGGGGATAAGATAGCACCAATAGAGAAATCAGAGGCCGAGGAACTGAGGCTGAGAAAACATAAGAAGAAAGAGAGCTCATGATGGAACATTTCAGCTGCAATGTGCTGCGCTTCCCACAATGGCGGAACGAACACATCAAGAAGATTCGCGACGGTTATGGCTGATGGAGAGATACGGTCATTTGTATCCCCACAAGATAGAGAAGAACAGGGTGTTCAGACGGATTACAGTGGTCAAAACATTCATAGGTATCACACAACGCACCCGTTGGGCTGGAGGCAGATGAGAGATATAGACTGAGAAAAGAAATAGGAATTAAATTCCCCGGCGCAGAGAGAAGATGGACGCATTTTTCCCTCATGAAATCAAATTTGCTACTCGCTTAATAACGGACAAAACAGCTGCGATTTTATGGCAGATTAGTTGACGCGGAAGGCGTCGAAGATAACTGTTCGAAAGCATTAGTGATGGTACCGCATGGTTGAAGAGGATCCAACTAACCTTCCTGGCCCCGGCGACAACCACTGCCAATCCACATCAAAGTGTTCAAAAATGCGTACCGTTCATCTCCGGTCTCCATAGATAGGTTGATGCGATATTTATACGTGTTCGGGTTGACACCATCTGCCACGGTCGGGTCGTTGACCTTGTCCAGGACGTCCTTAGAACCAGTCAACCATCCATTGGCCTTCACAATAATGTACGCGGGAGGGTCGTCGGCGGTCTGAAGCATATAGCTTGCTCGAAGGCTGGTGGATGACTCTTTAGTCACGATCTGAGAATCCTGTCCCCCAGGCTAATATCAGGTTAGCATGATGTGAATGCCTTCTTTTGGCGCACGAAGGATACTTACCAAAATAATGCCTTTGCCCCATCGACCTGCCCATTGCCCTCCCACAAATGTCACCCAGTCACGCTGGCCCCAAATACTCTCGCCCACAGCGACCTTGGGGTTCATCTTGATGCTCATGCGGAAGTCCAACTCGAGAGTGGGCGCGGGGATCTGCAGGGAGCGGGCCACGTCGCCCTCGGGGAAGGTGTGGAGGAGGTTGTTGGCGGGGATTGAGTCCTTCATGACACTGAGATAGGTGGGGCATTCCAGCAGATGTTGGCGTTGTCGACTCGTGTTCTTCGCGCGGACTTGCTGGCAGTATATGCATTGGACGGACAGACACTATAAGATGGAAAAGAACAGGTTCGCGCGTCAGAACTTCTGTGCAAGCCGCGCGCGCGTGCTTTCGCTCGCCATGAACCCCGGTGTGGGTCTTACCTTGTCTTCTTCCTTCGCACGGAACTCTACAAAAGCGGCATGCACGTCATCGAGGGGCGGGGCGGGGAGGTTGGAGGACGAGTTTTTCGGCTTGGACTTGGGTGTCGCACGAGGGGCCTGCTGCGCGGCAGCGGCCGTGGAGGTGGCCCCGGCAGGACCTGACGTCGGCAAGGAAGCGCGTCCCTGCATATTCTGCAGCGGCGTCTGCATCGGGGTGGCATGCGGATTGACACCGTTGGACATCATGGGTCCATTCGGGGTCGCGAGGGCACCTGGCCCTGGCCCAGCGCCCGCAGCTGTGGCAGCGGCGCCATTGGGAGTGGGAGGATATCCGTTGGCAGCACCGATGCCGTTAGGAGCGGATTGAGTGGACTGTGACTGAGCTGAAGGGTTGGTATGACGGAGGCCGGGACATTCGAGTAGGTGCTGCTTCTGACGCGAAGTGTTCTTTGCGCGGATTTGCTGGCAATAGATACACTGGACGGAAAGGCACTGCGAAGAGCAAACAAACAGACAGAATTGTCATGTCAGTAACGATGACGGGTGCTGACGGGGGGTGGTTGGGTTGGTTCTGTTGGTAGGCGGGCGTTTGGAAATATTACGGGAAATACGCAAGTCACGCACCTTATCGTCTTCCTTGGCGCGGAACTCGACGAACGCCGCGTGAACTTCCTGGTCGACTGTCCGACCCATGTTCACGACAAATGGGGTGAATAAATCGATATTGAATGGGTGGAAGGGACAGAAACCACGCCTGAATTACAAGACGATCACAAAAGATCTCGAGAGGATGATTTAGAGGGGAGGGGAAGGGTGGGAGAGGGAGCAAAACGAGGGAGCAGGGCGAGGACAAGGCAGCCAAAACTCGGGGGGGGGGGGTGTGAGCGAGAGTGAAAAGGAAGAATCAATGAATGTTTGACGGGACGGGAAGAAAGTGGAGGGAGGGAAAGGAAGAGAGAGGGAAAGAGAAAGAAAAGTGAGAGAGAGAGAGAGGAAGAGAGCAGGGGGAGAAGGACAAGACAAGACAAAACCAGAACGAGAACGAGTAACGAGGACAAAACGAGACAAACTGACGGCAAGTGGCGGTTAATTTACGCGAACTTGTTAAAAACGGGACGAGACGGACGAGACGGACGAGACCTGGACGAGACCTGGACGAGACCGTACACATCGCCCGCGTATTTTGGATCCTGGCATTCATTTAAGCTGGGCTGGGCTGGGCCGGGCTGGGCTGACTAACCCGTAACCAAACCACCCGATCGAGTCTCCTCTTGGGAGGGTGGGAAAAAATGCCAGTGCATGAAAAAAAATGTTCTTGGATCGTTATCCCGTACTGTACCATTCATCTAGTTATCTATCGTATGTACCACATTCAGCTGACCGGACGAATATAGAGGATAAAACACATCAGCATCCAGACACAAAGACAATCACCTCCTCTTCGATCCCCTCAAACACGATTCGACTCTAGAGCCGCGCAGCAAAGTCAAAACCAAGGCTATCAGGCGGCAGGCTGACCGAGTCCACTTCCTTCTCCTAAAAATAAGCCGGTGTGCTGCCAGCAACCTCCTGGGGTGACAGATCTAGATATGCAGTTTCTTAGCCCCATATTGATCTTCGAAGCCCTGTCCACGGTACATTCCAAGGAGTACGGAGTAATAGTTATGGCCTTATAGATCTCTGCCAAAAATTGTGTACTGGTAACTGGTAACTTACTGAACAGTACAGGCAATACTGGCAAGTAGAGGTAAGAACGAATACCAGCCATCGATACCACGTCCGGCGGTATCGAAGTAAGAGTAAGAGTAAGAGCAAGTAACATAACCAGACGGGACCGAGCATATTACCAAGAGCTTTACCACCGCGTCGGCCGCGTTTGGAATCAAAGAACCAAACCAGGTATGGAAAGGGAAAAGGGTATCTTGTATCGATCTATCTATCTGACAAAACAGAGATCGAGATCGCATTACGCATCAAGATCTAAGTTATTATGCACCTTTCTTCTTGCGAAGGCTATCTACCCTCCTCAACGAACGCTGCGGCTTGCAGGATCAGATGTTGTGTCAGGACACACGGGGGGTTACACAGCCACCGCCAACCACGCGTGCTGCCTTTCCGTGTCTTACTTCAGAGCGAGAGAGAGAAATGCTGGGCATTGAATCGAATCCCTGGGGTGAGAGAATGACCACGTTTAAGGGGTAAAATAGAACATACGAACCATTATTTACGAAGTAGTATAGACGTCGTCATTTCGTCAGCTCTATTGATGATAACGGGTACCAAGCTTTAGAATAGATGCTGATGACCAGCCTCATAAGGTAGCTTATGGAGTAAGATGTATGCCAAGCGAAGGAACTGCTCCCCAGACCGTGGACAGCTTGTCACCGTCCCTCCAAACACCCCCCTTGTCCCTGTTACATGCGGGTCTACTTCTACTTGTTCATGTGCATTGACTTTCTTTTTGCAATTCATACTTCCTGCCTAAAGCTGCCCTCGTCGCAGTTGATCGTTACGATTCGCTACCAAACCACCCATACATCCTTACCATCTATCAAACAAAGACCATCGATCTTCTCTGACGCAGTAGATGATGAAAAGACTGCGGGATTTCGAGCTTGCGATTCCATGGCAACAAGAATTTCATTGAGAAAGCTTTATGATCGAGATCAATATTCAGAGCAAGAAAAAGTGGGAAACGAGAGAGAAATATCGAGGTGAGTTGCAGAAGGAAATGCCGGGCGAGACGAAGAACGCATTAAATACCGTATTGTAAACCCATTCGACACCATAGAAGCTGGAAAGATTACCATGAAAGATGAGTATAGAAAAGAAAATCAAGGGCAGTCTGACGGAAAGAAACAGGAATTGTGAAAAGATGATTTTGAACATAAAGATACGAAGTACTGACTGCAATTCGGATCAATTCAGACATCTGATGCGTTCACATACAAAGCGCACTCTCAGATCTCTGGCAAACTGAGACAGATTTCGCCGTACAGGTAGAGTTCGCCATACTTTTCACCACCTAGGTACTGTGCCTCATCTTGATGGACCGTGAGTAGGCCTTTGGTAGCCAGAGCAAGGATATGCATTAGGCCTTGGGTAGCCACGATGCGAGATGTCTTCGCGGGCGGAAGAAGCGAAGAAAAGTGCATTGTTCGCTTGATACCACTAAAATAGCTTGAGGATGGGTGCACCAGGTCCCGACCATCTCCCTCATCTACAGGAGCCAGTGCCGCAATCTTGGCGGTGAGGAAGTCGAGGAAGTTCAGACTTTCCTGGTCGAGAGTGGACCTCTGCGAGTCATCCCCGTGGGTTCGGAGGCTGGCAGAAGGAGGCCCAGGTTCGGCCGCGATAGCATCGACTGCATTGTTACGGTCGACTCTACCGTGCTCTGCCTCCGCTTCGGTGTGCAGGTACTGAGAGATATCAAAGTCCTCAAACATGTTTACATCCTCCAGCTCGTGACCAGGGAGCTGTAGTTTGTCAAGTGCTTCGATATCGAATGGAAAGCCACGTCCGGCAAGAGGGCTCGAGCTTGTTAGGCGGCTGCGTGGCCTCAAAAGACCCGCGTCAGAAAAGCCGTGTGATGAAAAGTCACTAACACTTCCAATACCGGGAAGGATGTTGCGAGCAATGGATTCCTGTCGAGAGCTATGTATAGAGGCTGTAATGTTCCAGGGCATCTGAAAGGAGCCTTCATCATGGAGTACTGATGAGGCGTGGCGACCTATTTCAACATCCTACAGCGCGTAGCCTTAGTAACCAATCTTCTTTGCAAGGTATGTAAAGATGAAATAACAAACCTGATTCCAGAGATCATCCGGCTGACCCTCATTCCTAGCTCGTACACGTCTTCCGATATGTTCTTCTCCCTCATCTTCTATGGAGTCATGAACACGCTTGGGACTCAGACTGGCAGCAGCCGCTGTAAGAGTGTTGTAAAGTTGCTCCCCTGAGAAAAAATGCAATGGATGCGTGGCTTGAGACTTGCCAACTCCATTCCCAACAGAGCCGATTCCCTGACCATATACCCAGAAGGCCGCGTTCTTCTTCGATAGTGTCGGAAGCTTGTTCTTCGACTTTTGGTTCGAGGCTATTACCATAAGGTCCACAAAGTTCTGGTTCAGATGAGCTAGTTCACTGTTTCTTAGCCCGATCTGGTCATCCGGTTGTATCAACTTGGGGGCCCTTTGTCTTTGAGCCATTGATACTTCATGCGCTTCTGAAGTGGAATCATCATCTAAGACCATGTCGGGAAAAGGCGTTGATCTGGCCGGCAAATGAGCAGCACCTCGGGTGTTCTGCTCGGGTCTCTCGCCCATTTCGAAACCGTCCTCGACCATGTTAATCTTGAATGAACTCTGAGATTAGTACTGTATCATATGAAGTCATCGCGAAAGCTATACCTGATCTTCCATAATGATGTCTTCTTCAGCACAGACCCCAAGATCACTCGCAATCCCCCTTTCGTGGTGGCTGTGTGCAATACTGTGTGATATACCTCCAGCGGGCGGAGTAGCCCCCAGCTCAACAATGTTTCCGTCCTCATCGAACTCGAAATCAGCTTGAAGAATCACACCCGCTTCTTCGTCGAGTGGGAGAGGTCTGAGCCTTTCCGAGGCGATGCTCCTCGGACCATACCCAAGAGTATCGGTATCCGAGGCGAAACCCCCTAAGCCTCCCGCGTAATTGTCATCCGACGGCAAGCTCAATTGCACACTTGTGTTCTGCGAAACAACCGACTGGCTTAGATTAGGTGTCTTCGGCCAATTGAAGAAGGTCGGTGCGCTGGGGTCGACCTCGGTCAATGCATCAAAGCTCGAGAGGTCAAGGATAAGCCCAGGGAGGCTATCAGGCAGGAAGGAGGGATCGTAAGGCAAGATAAGCTGCTCGGGTCTATAAAAGAGGGATATTAGCATCATACCAGCGTGACCAGAGGCCCCAGAGGCGCTCCTATGCTGCCCTTGTCAGTGGTAGTGAGGCGAACCTAGCCTTTCCAGCGGAGGCGTCCAAACCACCACCCGGTAGAGTCTTCAGCATTGTTTTCATTTTGTCATGCATGGCTTGGACATCAGTGAGCGTATATCCGCATTGATGGCTGTAGACCCTTGAGACCCCATATCTGGTAGTTGAGTGTCTTGTAAGCAGAGGAAACAGCCTATACCACGTTCTAGACAGTGAGCATCTTACAGAAGATTTCCCTGAAGCCTCAGTGCCATTGGTGCCCCCGGCTCCATGATGGCGCCGCACGCCTTAGGCACATCCACATCCAGTATAGTCTTTCTGTTCAGACGTCTGGTAACAGACTTCGAGCCCAGAGTTGCGACTAGCCTGAAGACGAAGTTCATATTAGCCACTCTCTACGTTTTGTAAGCGTAGAGTCAACGCGTTGGAATTGAAGCGAACCATATTGTCGCGACACCGTACTCGGGAGAGGTAAGTACTAGAAGAATGAAAACGCTTTAGCTAGTGCGTGAGCTTCCAGAAGTAGAGGTTTGACTTACTTTCATGACTATAGAACATTTTCGAACCAAGAGTAGTATGGTACCGGCCCCAATCTTGCCTGTTGTGCAGTTGGGGTCGAGCACGCGAAGTCAAAGTAGAGTTGAAGACCCCAATGCGACTGAGAGTATGATCAGAGAGCAGGTGACGTCCGACAAGGTCTTGTGGTGTGAGCTCCGACAATTCCAGAGAGCGAGTTGTTCAGAAAGGTAAAGTCATTTGAGCATGGAGGCGTCGAGTAGAGGTGTGGGGTGTACCTGTCTTGGGGGAAAGGTACCAGTCACACAATTACTAGAGATATGGACGCGAAGCTCGTACAGCAAAGTAACGCGTGTTTGAATGAGCAAGACACGCTCTCATGAGTGATAGATTAATCAACGAGACTTTTAGTATCAGCGTTGGAAAGGATTCAAGTGACGAGTCTAGGCGCGTGAGGTCACTCTTTCCGTAACGAACTACTTTTTCACTTCTGCAGGGACGTGGACCGCAGGAACTGTGAGTATCCGAGCTTAAGAGTATGTTTTATTGATGAAAGGGTTCGCCGCTGTCTATCAGGGTTTGTATTAGGGAAAAGTCGTTCGAACGACGGTAGAGAAAGACGCCCGGCTAGCAGGAGTCGACAAGGAAATGAGTAAACCTGAGACCACCCGCGTGAAAAGAGAATGACTAAATCAACTTTTGGCGCTCCTCTGGCCAGCTACACTGCATTAGCACCAACCAGACGAGATACAATACAACAGCAATTGCTGTCCAGTGCTTTTAAGAGAAGGACATAGGTTGAAACGGTTGCCAGGATCGGTCTATTCATAACCAGAAGAAAATAGATGAAAAACAGAGACCAGGAGAAAACCATGGAATATGAAGAAAGAGATAGAGTTTATACTAATATCTCCAACCCATGGCAACCCGGGAAGATGCACGTGGGGTATGAGACATGCAAGAAAGATCAAAACTCGAAACATGAAGCTATACTTCCTCGGGGTTGAGAAGAACGTTTTCCTGCATTGGAAGGATTATATACCTACCCTTCGACTAGATGGATGTTACATGGTGCTTTTAAATAACAAATGCAAACAACCTAATCAAGAGGAATGCCCTGGTATTCGCCGTAGCCAAGGGCGAGGTTCATGTTCTCTGTACACGGATTGTTAGCGTGGCTCTTTTGATCAGGAGAGCCATTGGTATAGAGCTACTTACGCAGACATTGAGTGGCAGCGCCCTTGAGCAGGTTATCAATGGTAGCACACACAACAACACGCTTGCCGCTGGAGTGAACGGCAAAGCCGCCAACCTCAACACCGTGGCGTCCGGCAATGTTCTTCACCAGAGGAGGCTCGCCAACGATCTTGACGAGCTTCTCACCGGCGTAGCGCTCCTGGTAGATGTTACGGATATCGCGAGAAGTCAACTCCTCCTTGAGGGGAATGCTGATGGTTTGCTGTACCAGAATTAGCTAATGACAAAGGAACAAAAGTAGGAGCCAAACGTACGTGGATACCCTGGAACCAGACCGCGACGTGGGGGATGAAAGCGATGCTGGCGCCAAGTTGCGAGCTGATCTCCTTCTCGTGGATGTGATCAGTCAAGCTGTAAGGAATTATGTTGTTCGTAAGGTTGTCGACGTCGTTCTTAGGGCTGGGTTTGGTGCCAGCACCAGAGTAGCCGGAAACGCCGAAGACAGTGGGCTGTCCGCCGAGGTATGGGACAAGAGGAGCGATTCCAACCTGAGCAGCAGTCGCGTAGCATCCAGGATTGGCGATACGAGTAGCCTGGGCGATCTTGGAACGGCTGACCAGCTCAGGAAGACCGTAGGTCCACTTCTCATCGAAGCGGTAGTCGGCACTGAGATCGATAATCACGTTGCCCGTCTCGGAACCCTGGTCCACAGCATCGACAAAAGGCTTGCAGACGCCGTTAGGGAGGGCCATGACCCAGCAGTCAACATCACCGTTGGCAGACATGCGCTTGACATCATCGGGGCTGAGGTTCTCGTAGATAATCTCACGCTTGTCATAACCCTGCAACTTCTTCCCAGCCAGCTCACGAGAAGAAACATGACGCAGGTCCAGGTGAGGGTGAGCGTTGATCAGGTTGATCAAAGCCTGGCCAGTGTAACCGCGGGCTCCAATCAGAGCAACCTTGGAAGGGCGGGTGTTGGACATGTTTTTCTCTCCAAGAGGGGGGTTGGGGTTGGTAGTAGCATAAGTCCTGAAAGCCTGCACAGGAACGGTAGGGCGAGTCGAACGAGCAGCGCGGAGAGCGTTGCTGGTCGAGGAGAAAGCACGTCTTTGCTCAGTAGAAGCACCGCTAGCACCGAAGCCCTTACCGATGTGGGTGGCGGCCTGGGCAGCACGATGCAAGCGCGATTCGAGGTTAATGTCTCCAAACATCTGGCGACCGTGCTCGTTGAATTCCTGAACAAGCTGCTTGACCTCCTCACCACTCTCAACTCCGTACCAGAAGAGAACTTCTCCCTCACGGCTGAGGCTGCCATCGGCCTTGTCGAAGAACCAAGTCAGGTTCTCATCGTCCTCCTTCACGGTCCAGACAAGCTTAGGGAACTCCTTCTTGATGGCGGCAAAGACGTTGTCAGCGACGTTGGTGAGCCAGCCGGACTTGGTGATGGTGAAAGTAGCCAAGTGTGCCAGAGAAGAGGTGGCATCTTTCTGAGGGGGCAACACAACAGCGAGTGCATTCATGGGCTCATCGTAATAAGCCTTGAACTCGCGCTCCTTCAAGCCCTCAACATAGCGATCGACAGTAGCGCGGGCGTCCAAGCCCTCACGATCGCGAACGAGGACATCCTTGAGCTTATCCAGATCCTCAAACTCGGACAGGGAGGTCTTGGTGTGGACCTTGTTGCCTCTGCGAATCAAAGTACCGGCTCCAGAGTCGGTGAAGAGTTCCTTCTGCAAGTCGGCGGGGTGGATGATAGCAACGCTAGAAGTGCGGGGAAGGTCGCTGAGGAGATCCTTCATCTCCTTGATCTTCAGGCGAGTACCGTGACGCACCCACCACTGAGTCATCAGGTGATCATACTCCTCGTCGAGGTTGATCACGGAGATTTTCTCGCCAGTGTCACCGTTAAACAAGCCACCCTTCTCCGCCAAGTAGACGATCTTGAGGGGCTGAAGGGCACGCGCAAGCTCACCAGCCGCGACATCAGCATTGACGTTCAAAACCTGACCATCGGGAGTCTCGGCCATGGAGGTGAGGATGGGAAGGCAGCCAGCCTCAATGGCAGACTCAATGGGCTTCTTGTTGACGCCGTTGATCTTTCCGACCAAATTGTACTTCTCCTTGTCCAGGTAGTCGGCGGTGAAGACGCCGGCATTGAGCGGGCGGGCCCGAACACCCATGCGCTCCAACTCCTCAATCAGCTTGAGGTTTTCCTCAAGGAACAACTTTCTGGCCAGAGCCAGGGTCTTTCCGTCCGTCACGCGGATTCCATCTTCGAATTGGGGCTCCACTCCAGCATCCTCGAGCATGCGATTGAGCTGAGGACCAGCGCCATGGACAACAATGGGGTAGAGGCCAACGTGGTTCAGGAAAGCGAGGGCGGAGGAGAGAGTCTGAAGGTGTTCGGTGATAATAGCACCGCCAACCTTAATGACGGCAAATTGCTGCTGGGAGACGGAGGTGAAGTGGGAGAGGTACTGCTGGACCTCCCGCTTGGAGCCGATGTTGCTCAGCAACTGAACGACCGTGGAGCGGGTGGAAGAAAGCTGAGGATCGGTAGCACGAGAGTATTGACGCCCTTGCAACAATGGGACGGCAGAAGCTTTGAGTGAGTGGCGGGCAGAGGGGGAGCCGATTCTGGCGCGAGAGACGGCGAGCGGTGCGGAGAGCGCGCGGAGGGGCTTGCTGGGGGAAGCTCTCCGCACGGCAGTGCGAAGGGAGAACATCTTGCCAGCCAACATGCGGCAGCTTTTGCGCCTACTCGAACAGAAAGGTAGAGGGGAGGGGAGGAAAGCCCAAAAGTATGAATGAAGCTGTTAGAATTTCAAAAAGAAGATTGTTCGAGGGAGGAGGGAGGGGGGAGGAGAAGGAGGAGGAGAAGGAGGAGGAGGAGGAGGAGGAGAAAAGTGACAAGGAAGAATGAGTTAAAAGGTTGTGGTTGTGTGGAGGGAACCAATTCGGGTGCAGCCAGGGAATTTGCCGCAGGCTCCAAAGAGTTTTGATGGTCGAGATGGTAATAGTGATGATCGGCTACTTGTCGGAGCGGGCGTCTTCCATTTTCTGCAATCGGCCGGAAACCTACTCTTGACTCACGCAGGTTGGTAAGTAGTCAGTAGTTGGTTTAGTTGAGTCAGTGCCCACTCCGGGAGAGATCGTTCCCTCCTTGCAAGTACTAAGATAAAAGAGTTACATTTACATCAACTCGCGACCGAACCCCTTCCTACGTCCCCCCCTTTATACTTGTCATTTCCTACAACCATTGCTGGAAAGTCCTAATCTTTGGGTAAGCTCGGAATTGAGGGAAATTCGAACGAGCCAGTGGAATAAATTGCGCAGGGAAGCGGCGCCGCACAACTGCCCGAACAACTTGCCCTTGGCCCTGCCCTGCCCTGCCCTGCCCTGCGTGCGTGCGCGCTGCCACCGCGCGACTGCGACTTTCGGAGCTCCTCTTCCCAACATGACTCACCACACCATTGATATTAGGTGAACTGATTGATCCAAGACCAAACTACGGATACGGCAAGGGCTCCATTCTGGTTCCCATGAAATTCTCATAGACAATTTGAAGTTCCAGCAGTTCCAGCAATCAGAGGCTCTCAGCACTAGACTATACACCTAGCAATCCACTCCCCCTCAACATCCCAGGCTTGCTGGCAATGCTTGCCCTCCCGGTATCCATCCCCACACGTAATGAAAATTGCAAAATGGAGTCTTGAAACGTCCCGGATCAATTTCCATCATACAATAATAATTCCTGGGAATCGTTATCTGATCTTACTAGCCACCCACTCCCCTCTCCCAGCGAATCATTGCCATCAATAGTCTCTGGAGGCTGGGGCCACTGCCCCAGCGCACTTCCCTTTTCAAGTGCCATCTCCATCAGTGTCTCTCAGACTCTGGTTCTCTTTTCGTTATCTGATCCTCCCTTAACCGAACACTCCTCCTAGGCTGGTCACTGGCCACCTGTCCTTCATTATGGATACTTTTCTTATTGTATGGTCCACAGCATTCCGTCCCCGCCAAAGCTCTTTCTCCGTCGCTTCGGAATCACGTGTGGGTGGCGCGATTCGGGATCTTTCAGGTTAAACAGGCTAGATTTGCCATTGCATCTTTTTTTGGGTTGAGACTTTCTTGGATCGATTTTCATGAGGAATTTATTGTTGACATTCAGAGGCTAAAGAACGAAGGACACGCAGCAACACAACATCAGGCATACCCGTAAGGGTAGCACAGGAAACGAAGTGAGAAAAGACAAAGCGCACTGATATACTAGGACATGAGCGAGCACCAGAGTATCATTTACATCTTCACAGTCGATGGATTCATGTGGCATAGCCTCGAGACCCCAGAGCAGCCCATGGCGTCAATGGTGCGGCGAGGCAAGAAGACTTCATTCGTGAGAACAGGGAAAGTTCGACGCCCGAGAAAAAGCAAGAGGTATTAGTAGCTGGAAACAAAAGCTTCACGGGCACAACACAGATAAACCAGGACCAAGTGAAAAAGAAGAAAAACGTCATCCATTCCCAAGACAATCATGACTGTCGCTGCGTTCGTAACTTATTTTCTGGTGGTGATCACTGTTGTCGAAATTAAGGGTTAGCGCGAATCCGGAACCCAATTGCCGAGTGGAGGGCGGATCGAGGATATAAATGTAGATCTTACCAGTAGGGACGATAATCACTACAAGCAAAATGATGACACAGATGATCAAGCATACGCGCATCTTCATGTCCTTCCACCACATCTGTTTCCTCACCCGATTGGCGCCACGGCGGAAGCCCTGGGCTGATACTGCCAGATTATCGGTCTTGTCCTGGAGCGAGTCAAGGCGCTCGCCACGCTCCGAGACCTTGAAGATGTTTGAGCGCATCGTGTCGACGGTTTCTTGGATTTTCTGTTGGAGCAAGCAGGCTCGTCAGTCAGACAGTTCATTCGACAGCTTGCAGTAGTCCGTCAGAGCAGATGGTATGCCCAAACTAAGGCAGTAGCCGCATCTTCTGGATGCAAAGCACTATGCAAGCGCTCTCCAAGTACGCTCTCCAAGCACATTACATGGAAAAGGGGCCCATGGCTAACTCACCTTGTCGATCTCCCTCGTCCGAGGGTCGCCATTTTGCGCAGCGGTAGCGCTGGGTCCGTTGGATCCAGACGGAATGTAAGGGTCGTAAGGCTGCTCAGACATGACTGCGATGCGCGATGTTCTCGATTTGTTTGTAGAGAGCGAGACGTCGGGTCTGGTAGATCACCAAATTGCGGTGTTGAGGTTGATGAGCTCTTTTGTTTGTTCCTTCCGCAGGGGGTGAGGTGGAAGTCGTGGCAACAAGTCTAGCAGGTCGGGGTGCAGTCGTCTGGTGAGAATGAGAAATCAAATGTACTGCTTGATTGTGAAAAAGTGATTAGATTGTGAAATGATTGATGTAGTCGTGGAGTTAAAGTGGATGTGTTGCTGGAGGGAAGCTGACAAGGTGTGATGAATCGCCGCCCGCTGTCTGGAGATTACAGGCGTTTCGGGTCGGTCGGGGGGGCGGGCGCAACACGTGACCAAGCATTGGCTGGGAAAGACAGCCCGCCTCGCAGGCAGCTATTTTTATGCTAGAATGGATTCGAACCCAGCGCCCATGGAACAAAGAAGTCGCAAGAAGCGTGTGGTATTACAGTAACATGGTGTTTTCTCAAATGGTTTGCGACTCTGCGAGAGGCCACATGCATATGCGACCTACTAGCCGACCACCTATCCAAACAATAACCAAACACAACTGCTATGACAGATCTACTTTACATACATGGACATGCCACCGACTGGCTGTCTCTACGAGAATGCATCATACATACATAGAAAAAAAATCCATTGAGTCCCAGATTCGAACACAGAGACGGCATCTTCCCGCCAAAGTAGCCCATTGGGCATCAGAAGTACGCCAATTGTCATGCCAAGTCATGTGTTGCTAAAGGAACGGGAGGAGGCTGGAAGCACCGTCCGTACCTTCAGCCTAGTGGCTATGCAGTGTTTCGCCCGCCGTCGGCTTCACGTGGCGATCCCTCGCGCTTGAGTCCGAATCTGGAATAGACCGTGGACCCTACCAATCACTTGAGTATGTTAATCCTCAATAACGGTTGTTGAGATCTCGCATCATTGTCATCATTTAAAAACACCTATGGGTAGGTATTCTTCGCAAGAATGCAAATCATAGTAGACATGCTGGGGATATGGCACGGATCATGAAATACGTCACTTCCAGCACAACATATCCTGCTGCATCGCCAGGTGTTCACTGGCATATACCCCCGGTCGGAAAGCATACGTATTTGTGCTGCAGACAGATATGTACTGTACTTTACAGTACATGCGTCACCTGAGGGATACATGATATTGATTAGGTACTGCGTGTCAAGCCACAAAATGTACCATGCTATCAATAGAAAGAGCGGATTCGTGTCTGAGATCCCGAAGAATAGCTACGCTGATCTGGGAGTGTTTCATAGACATCTATAATATTGATCAATTCATTGTAGGTAGGGCCTCATACAATGTTTCAACTTATGAGGTAACCTGGAAATACCCTGCTGATATCAATTTTGTGAATTGGAGCTATTGTACCAATCCGCACCAACAATGCAGCGAAGCACAACATTGATGAGATCCCTCTACAACTGATAGTGGTCGCTGTAGTCTTCCTTAGCCCGATCCATGATCTCAACTTCAGAATCACCAAAAGAATACAGATAGAGTGGATTTCCATTCAGTCGTTCACACATTAATGAAATGAAATATAATACAATATCACCCACGTAACTCCTCACACGCCCGGGTCCACAACGATTCGAGAGACTGCTTTTCACTTTCCCCATAGTTTTTTTTTTGGTATGGGGTATAAATACATGACCTTGTCGATAAGAGGAGAAGAAGGCACTTCTGGTCTCACCAAAAACGACCGAGAGCCGGAGGTTGCATGATAGATCTTGGTTCCGTGCTGATATCCCCTTTGCCTCCTATTTCCCACCAAGCAGCTCCTTCCGCATCTCTTCTCTTTGCACCCTGGCGTCTTCCTTCGCCTGCGTGTTTTGTGTTTGCGCCTCTAAGCGTCTCTGTTCCTGTTGTTCTTGAGCGGCGATCCAAACTGCGCAACAAGAGGTGTCAGCAGGCCGCACAACGATGATCCGTCAATCAGCATCAAGATAGAGAAAGAACTCAACATACTATGCTTGTCAGACTTGGACCACTCCTTCAGCTTGGTAACGTATTCATCGAAATCCCGTGCTCGTCGGTCGCCCTCTTCCAGACTCCGTTTCTGAAGGTCGGGGTTGTAGCGCTTGAACAATTCTTCGTCCGTGGGCCGGATGTATTGCACGAAGGCCGGGCCTCCCACGCAGCAAACAACGCCGCTATTAACCGTCAGAAGCTAGTCCAGACACAGTTGAAGTGTTGCGCTTGGGAAACCAGCTTACACTCCCAGCATCTTCAGCCAAGTTCCTGCACGAGACATGATGGCGAAGCGTTCGGAGGATGACTATCCGTCTTGGGCGATGATGTCAGATTGTTGGGCTTTCGGGATAGAAGGGTGCGGAGTTGCCGAGATCGCGAGACACTCCTCAAGCTATCTGGAATTGTTTGCGTTTTTCGATATGTTTCTTCTCGGTTGAGCATCAATCCATCGTCATCCGCGCGCGCGGGTTTCGGCAGACAGAGCTCGTGTGGCGCAGCTTTGAGGCTAGTGATAGTGGCCCAGCATGTGGCTGTGTTGTTATCCGCCAATCGCGGCATTGAATTACACACCCATCGACGGTAGATTTTATTCATTGTGATTTGCTACCCGAGTGACTAAACCCATGGAGAGGGAGCCCTGTTGCTCCACTTGGTATGTGGTTGACTGCCTGATGCCCTCATGCCTACATTCTGCAGTATGGTACAGTAGGTTCTGGTATCCAACCCCAATCATGTCATGGAAAACATCCCGCATTCGCATACTTGACACTCTAATGTCTTAGACATCTCTTTTCCATGTATCTATTTTTACGCATCAGGCCTTAGGCATAGCATCATATGAACTTTGGTTACATGATTATCATGATACATTTCGATTCCCAGGGCAAGTTAACCTTTGGTTGCCCCAAGCGCAAGATCAGAGCCAAAAACTGTACTAAGTGTGATCTGAGCAGGGATAAATGCCGATAGTATGAAGATCATCTCCAGATCATCACCACAGTCACTAAGCTACATAGCTGTGCTGGATGATCACTTTAGACAGGCCAAGGGTTGAGGAAAACTGGCACCTGTGCCTTATGGCACTGATGGGGATTCTTTCTATCGGGCGTCAAGATTGGTGAAGAAACTGGTGCCACAGTGTAGCAAGCGGAAAAGCCAATAGAAGAAGCGCGAGGCCCGACTACACTCCAGACGGAGACTTCACTGTGCCGGGGCTTCTGGATAGAGTATGGTAAACCAATCGCTCTGCTGGAGACAGGCGCAGTGGAGCAAAGGCACTTCTCACCGCCCTGCCCTGTCTTTGGTTCTTTGCTGCCGCCTGAGGCTCGGCACGATCTGCTTGATGTGGAAAGCATCGACCCCTGACGATCGATGTTGCGTTCTGCTCTTCGATTAGGGATTAGATCAGGGATTACTGATTGACATGCGTTGATTGTCGCGGGCTTAGGATTGGATGTGCCCTTAAGGAGTGCTCGGGGTCACTCAAGGCCGTTGTCGGGACTATGTGTACCGTCACCCGTGACTTAATACGTAGTTTTTTCCTTCTTCGGACCGACTCAAATGTCACATTTGTAGTTTGGTCCCTTGGTTAGCGCCGTGCCAAGAAGTCATTGCACCCCAATCTGGCGGATTCGGTGACTATCAAAAAGAAGACCCATCTTCAACACCAACAACCGACTTTCCGACGCTGCCGAGACAACGCCCACCCTTGAGCGCGCGAAGGGCCCGAATGACATGAGAGAATGGAGCAGTCAACGTCGGCCATAACCTAGGGAGGGAGCAGGGACAGGCTCAGGCTCAGTGAGTGGGACATGAGCAAGTATTGGCGGAACGAACGTGGGTCTTTCCAGTCAAAGGAGGGAGGGAGAACTGTTCCCCAGCGTCAGCGTCAGGTGCCGGTCAGCGTGAAACAAATCAGCTATGCGAGAAGAGTGGACTGCTATGTAAATTAAAGGAGACGAGGGATAATAGATCCAAAGGGGGTAGAAAAATAAAATAAAATGGATGATGGATCATAAAATTCATGCAAAGTCCTTTTCTATTTCCTTGGTCATTCTTTTTTCTTTCTCTTTGAACGCTATCTTTGTTGCTAATCGCCCCAGATAGAGATAGTGTCGTTGTCTAAATTACCGCCGCGGGCCATAGTCTTCCCCTCTTTTTTGGGCTGTCTTTTTTCCCTCCACTCAACTGCTTCACTTGCGCGACTCGCAACCGCACCTCCTCGACCTCCTCCTCTCTCCTCCTCTTCGTTTCTGTGCGCTTGCTGCCTGCTGCTGGCTCACTCTTGGGGGTCACACCCGTTCTTTACAGTTGACCGTTCCTTTCCCTTCATTGATTACGTTCTTGGCTCTGGATCCTCTCGGAAACAGCCCACTTCCATACTTTGAAGCAAGCGACATTCATTGCTCGTGTTCTGGGTGAGTTAGGCTGGCTTTGCGCATTCGCGCTCGCCGCGCCTGCAATCCTTTGCGCCCATGGCTTCCCCACTGACATTGTCTCCCGTCACAATGAAGCCCGACTCGACTCCTATCGCGCGCGCGCCCATTTGGATCCGATGATCGTACATCTCACATGGAACTCCTAAAGAATCTGTTGGAATGATTTTCGTGCAGACCTAGCTTTGAGTAAGCCACGCGCCCCTATTGAGACCTGTGCAAGGCTTCATAGCACAAAGTCGCTCCGGTCCTTCTCCTACTAACTAGATCTTGCAGCTTGGCTAGACAGACAGAGAGACAAACAATTCGGTCGAATCGAATCAAGCCTGCGGAATATAACTGTCGCTACCCCTTGCGAACAAAGAACGCGCGTCTCCCACTCGCCTCACACATTCACTTCCACTCGCTTCCTTGTGCATTAGACCTTAGAGTGCGTCATGGCATATCAGCAGCGTCCAGTACAGAGGGCTCCGCCTGTACGAAACTACGGCCCCTCTCAGCCTGCCCCCAGTGGGAGGGGCTATCCGCCGCAAGATGGGTACCCTGAGAGTCGCTATGATAACAACTACCGTGGCTTTCCCAATGGGGGTTACGACAACCACGGATATGGATATGCTGGCGAAGGTGCAGTTCCGAGGTCATATGGACATGGGCCACCGCCCCGCGGCGCCCCGCGCGGTGGTTACGGCCCCCCGAGGGATGACCGAAGCCATGCATATCGTGGCGGCCCACCACCGCAAGGGTATGATGGTCGCCGTGGCTCCGAGGATCGGATCCCACCTCCAAGACAGGATCGTATCAGACTGCGTGAGTATTCACATTCTATCCCTCCGGCGCACGTGCTCATCATCTCTTGATTCAGCCGGACGTCCCCCGCAACCGCCCAGCATCAACACCTCATTTACCGCCCAAGACCAGCGTGGACCGATAGCTCTTGAGAGCGGGATGGCCGCTATGAGTCTCAGTGGCGGCCCAGCAGTACCTACACAGGTTCCGGATCGCCCGCATACTTCTCATGCCAAACGGCCTACTCATCCCATGTCACCAGGCAGGAGTAGGAGCATCACTCCAGGGACACCAGCGAGGTCCGCCAGCACAGGTCGCCCGTCTCCGGGCTCTTTTGAACGGCGCAATGGACCATATACGGACCCACAGGAACCGCCCCCGGTGCCCCATATCAACAGGAGCGCCACCATGCCTGTTTCCTCGCCGGCCCAAAGCATACCTCCCAAGCCACTATACCCAGGACAGGCGACTTACCAAGAGCCCAACTACGCAGCCCCACAAGGACCCCATGAACGGTTTGACACCGCGGCATGGGTGGATAGCTATTACAATCGCAAACAGGCGGAGGAGCCTGATATGCCCAATTTCGATGCTATGCCCGATCCTGCCAAAGGCACTATTATTGATGAAAGCTTACCTGGTCTGGAACAGCCGCAGGTCAAGCCATCCATTGCATCGCCTACTACATATCAGGCCCAGTACGCCGCTTTCAGTCCGCAAGCGGCAAGCGATCCTTACGCGTATCCTCAATCTGATATGCGGGGAGGGCCTGCGCCCAATCAATTTGCAAATGCAGGTTTTCAGTTTGATTTGCCCGGGGGTGAAGGACCCCCTGATGCACATCACCACGAGGAGGCAGGTTATGCATATAACGCAGATCCTTATGAAGACCCATATATGCAACGAAGCGATAATTGGAGCCCTCCTGGACCGGCGCATGCGGAAGGTGCAGCAGGCTACGCTGCCAGAGACACTCCTCCTTACAGCAATGGACAGTCTCAACCATATAGAGCTGTTAATGACTACAGTCCACCCATCAATCAACCCGAAATGCTTGATGATCAGCAGAACCCGGATGCTCTTCCACACCACCCTGTTCCGTTCCGGCCCGGTCTTGAGCAGGCAGCCAAGCCTGCGCCAATGCGCCAATACGAGAGCACCGGCAGCTCCAAATCTCCTCCGGCAGCACCGCAAGGTCCACCGGTTGAATCAGCTCCATCTAGTCCGGTGACACAAGGTGAGCTGCAGCGCCTACAGCAGATGGTCAAGGCGAAACCCAATGACCGCAAAACTCAGCTGCTTTTTGCGCAAAAGCTGGTCGAGGCCTCGACTGTTCTGGTTGATGCTAGTCGGATGGATCCGAAGACGAAAGCCAAAGCCCGAGAAAAGTACACCATGGACGGTTATAAGATTGTTAAAAAGTTGGTTTCGGCCGGATACGCCGATGCACAATTCTATCTGGCCGACTGCTACGGTCAGGGCCAGATGGGTCTACAGGTTGACCCTAAGGAAGCCTTTGGCTTATACTATGCTGCTGCCAAGCAAGGACATGCGCAGTCGGCGTACCGTGTTGCAGTTTGTTGTGAGATAGGTCAAGATGAGGGTGGCGGCACTAAGAGAGACCCGTTCAAGGCTGTTCAATGGTATAAACGTGCAGCAGCCCTTGGTGACCCGCCCGCGATGTATAAGATGGGAATGATTCTACTGAAGGGTCTACTAGGCCAGGCTAAAAACCCGCGTGAAGGAGTTGCCTGGCTTAAGCGTGCAGCCGACCGCGCTGACGCAGAAAATCCCCATGCTCTCCATGAATTAGCATTGATGTATGCGAACGGAGGAAACGATGTGGTTGCACGCGACGAAGCCTACGCAAGCCAGTTGTTCCATCAAGCCGCAGAATTAGGGTATAAATTCTCCCAATTCTACCTGGGCAATGCGTATGAGTATGGCCTGATGGGCTGTCCTGTGGATCCCCGGCAGAGTATCATATACTACACACATGCTGCTGCGCAAGGAGAACATCAGAGCGAACTGGCCCTGAGTGGGTGGTATTTGACTGGCGGGGAGGGGATTCTGCAACAGAGTGATACGGAAGCGTATCTCTGGGCTCGCAAGGCCGCCACTGCCGGCCTTGCCAAGGCTGAGTACGCGATGGGCTACTTCACTGAAGTTGGAATTGGTGTTGTCGCAAACTTGGATGACGCAAAACGATGGTATTGGCGCGCAGCTGGTTAGTACTGCCCCTGGCATAACTGTGATTGATACTGACACTTCTCTCGTCGCTTAGCGCAAGGATTTCCTAAGGCTCGTGAACGTCTTGAGGAGATCAAGCAGGGTGGAGCTCGTATGCAGAAGACCCGTCTTTCTCGGTCTGCCGTCAATCAGCAAAAGCAGAATGATGGAGACTGTGTTCTGATGTGATTCATCCACATATATATTATTTTTCTTGGGTCGCATTCTCCATTTACTGATACGAAGACTTACATCATTTTGATCGTTTGATGCGATATGTCACGGCACGTGCCTGCCCAAAGCGCCTCGTCTGGATCCGGGGGCTTTTTACATACTCATCACTTTTCTTTGCTGAAGACGCATTGGCTATGGTTCGGGCAATCTGCACTTGGGCCTATCTCTTTTCTCTTTCTTGATTCCCCCAATGCATTTCCACTTGCGATAAGCGTGTCAGCATAGTTGAGGCTTCTCAGTTATGCGGGTTGCCCCAGCAGCTTGTTTTCATCATGTCTTCAACCGCAAGTAATACTATAACAACATAATACTAGGAATTTAACCTAAATGTCCAAAGATGGGACAGACATGCAAAGCACTTCCGGCGTTCTCGACTAAGCACCTTGTTAAGCACTTTCTCACTTGATTTCGATTTACGACGCGGGCTTAGTCATTTACACACCGAGTCAAGATTACTTGTCAAGACTCAGATTCCAGTATAGAGAATCGAAACCCAGGGTTCAAAGTCGTGCAACATACAATATATCTTTGTCCATACATGCATGCAGAGTGAGGCAATTCCGAGGGAGGGGGTGGGGGCGGGGCAATTCCGCACTCCCGACTGAGGGATTGGTCACCACCCGATCGGATGCGCTTTGGATTAGCAAGATCGGCTCTCGCATGTTCCAAGCCGAGTTCCAGGTACAAGTACCAGTTTTGAAATCACGCCCAATTTGCATTATCCTATTGGTGGTTTGATCTTGAACTCCTGCAGAACTAGTTGCATTGCTTATAAAAATCTCCCTAGAAAGGGGACCCTGAACACCTTCTTGCGTGCTTTTTACAACTTACTACCTGATAGACCGGAAGCTATCTTCTTCTTCTCTTGAGCATCTATATATGTCTCCCACCACGCCCGCGCCTGCAGACCAACACACCCACCGCAAACCCTCAACCATCGCATTGATATCGGTGCTTGCCCTTCTCCTCGCCGTGGCTATTACCCGCTTCGCGAACCCGGGCGCATCCACCACCGATCCAAGCTCTCAAAGTACAACTGCCACCCCCCCCCTCCAACCGCCAACCTGGATCATCTCCGTCGCTTCTTCAGCTCACCTGTCGCCTCCGCAGTAGGTCGATCTACGGTCGGGCCCACGATGTCGAAAACACCGGTGTATTTTTTGAGTCATGGCGGTGTACGTCCAGCCCTTCCCCGTAGTCAAAGATGCGATATACTAATTCCATCTCATGTGGGGTAGCCGAATATCATGTACGATCATCAGCATCCGGCGTACCACAAGCTGGGGGAGATCGGACGGGAGATCACGACGAAAGTGAAGCCGCGGGCGGTGGTGGTTTTCTCGGCCCACTGGCAAGGGAAACGGGATACGATCCAGGTGAATACGGCGGAGATCACGGAGTTGATTTATGAGTATGTCCTTCCCTTGCATTTCCGATTGTTGCGATATGGGGATGGCAGGCTACGAATGAATGAATGAATGGGTGGAGAAACGATTACTGACGCGCAGAATTCCCTTTTTAAAGCTTCTACGGGTTTCCGAGCCATTACTACAAGGAGAAATATCCGAACGTTGGAAGTAAGGAGATTGCGGAGAAGGTGCTGAGTGCGCTGGGTGAGGCGGGAATCAAGGCTGAAGGGGTGAAGAGGGGGCTAGACCATGGCGTTTGGGCGAGCTTTAAGTGTGGTAAGTTCCTTCTTCTCTGATGATGTTGGAGGCCAGGGAGAGGGGCAGTAGAAGCCTGCTAACATTGTTCCGTTCGTAGCCTTTGAGCCCGAGAAGAACCCGTTGAATGTCCCTATTGTGCAGGTCTCGCTGTTCGACACGGAAGACCCCGTTCAGCACTACCGACTTGGCCAGGCGGTGTCGAAGCTTCGTGAGGAAAACATCCTGATCATTGTCTCCGGGATGGCCGTTCACAATCTGCGGGACCTGCAGTTCTCCTTTGGTGACCCGCGACCGTTGCCGTATACCGCCAGCTTTGACGAGGCTCTTAAGGATGCGGCCACCGCCAAGCCGGCGGAGAGGGAGCAGGCTTTGGTGGATCTGCTGAAGCGGCCCGATGCCCGCAAGGCGCATCCGACCTTTGACCATCTGCTCCCCATTCATATCGGAGCTGGTGCGGCCGGGGACGACAAAGGGAGGCGCTTGTGGACCCTGAAGGAAGGAAGTATGAGCTGGGCGCAATATAGATTTGGCGAGATCGCCAACAATACTAGCTCGCTGTAGTTTGTTGATAAACCAGGTAAATCAATAGATGTGCAGATTTTTAATAGGGTCGGTATTTTTTTCGGGCGGTTCGCGGCGAGAATTGGGTCTTCAGATTCATCTATAGGTACAGCGCAGAGAAAGAGGGCAGAAACATGGTTGCATGAAGATATATGGGCGCAATAAATAGGACTGATTATGAAGACGCCTTCACCAATTGGGTAATCTTCTCTTCGACCTGCTGATCCGTCAAGCCTGTGTTGCAGCGATATTCGTCAATTATCACATTTTGCGAGTCAAGGTTGATCTCGAAAGGTCTTACCGGTCAAAGCTTCCTGCTTCTCTCTTCCGAGCTCTGCACATGCTAGTTAGCTCACGTCTGCGAACGGGCTTGTCCACGACAGGTGATCATCGGGCCATACCGTATCTAGCGTACACTCTGGGCACAGTACCAGCTGCCTCGCGCATCAAAATAGGAGTGGAGGGATTGTGCTTCTTCATGGTGGGATAGGCGCGCTGCAGGAACGACCTAAGGCAAACAATCCAGCTCCATCAGCAATTGGGCTCAAACAACACATTCTGATTGTTGCGCGCGAGTCGACTAACCGGGTAGCAGCGCTCTCCTGAGAGGTCTGGCAGAAAAGGAAGCGCAGCTCCTTCAGACCCTTAGTGAAAGCGTACTTAGAGGACATTGTGAAGTGGTGACGGATCGCGAAGGGCGGGATGGGTCGGGAACACGCGGGAATGACCGTCAGACTAACTGGGCGCCCGTCAGTATTGACTCTGGATAACTCGGAGAGTTGCAATTTAGGATGGGGGGGATAAAAACTGACAATGCGTGCTGGGAGCTCTGATCGAGGAGTTACCGACAAACTGATTCCCACTGAGTGAGGTTCTGGGAGGGACTCCGGCAGAACCAATCCAGTCAAGCGTGATTGTCACCGCTTACCTCAGCCGGAAAAGAGCCGCAACCCCAACAGACTGAGGCCGACGTCGGGGCCTTTTGACGGAGCGCTTCATCTCGACGACCTTGTGTCTATCTTTACCTACAATCTCGAAATTCCTGACCCTTCGTTCTACGTGTGGTCATTGCTATCAATAGGGTTTCTTCTTCTCCTCCTTGCGCCACTTGCCTCTCTCCGCTCTCTTTCCCTGGGTCCCGCCCGACACTCTCCGCTCTCACCCTTCCGAACTCTCCCATAACACACACCTTCGCCCGCCGCGCTCGGTCTACGTTCATACCAAATCCTTCACAATGTCGTCCCGTGTCGGTCTCCGCTTTTTCCAGAACTCTCGCGCTGCTTTCCGCAACGCATATGGCCCCTTCCGTCGGCCTGGCGGCCAGGGTTTCCGGTTTCAGAGCTCAGATGCCGCCGCCGCCGAGCAACAGAGCACTTTCCAGCGTCTATGGAACAGCCCGGTCGGTGTGAAGACGGTGCATTTCTGGTGAGCTTAAAGCCTCTGAGGGTTTTGTCTTGCACTACTCGTGCGGTGCAATTGATTTGGGAGGTCAAGAACCAAGCTAACACAAGACAATCGCTAGGGCCCCGGTTATGAAGGTATGTGACAACGAGAAAAATAAACCCCTCGTCGGCGTCGCCTATTCGCGATATACCCAAATCTACAATGGTTCATCACTGACTCTGTCCGCTCTAGTGGGCTCTCGTCATTGCCGGTATCTCCGATCTTAGCCGTCCTGCTGAGAAGCTCTCCTTGACCCAGAACGGTGCTCTGATGGCCACCGGTGCTATCTGGACTCGCTGGTGTATGATCATTACTCCCAAGAACTACCTGTACGTCTATCTCTACAATCGGCGGTTCCTTCCTGTGATGTTGGAATCAATATGACTGACTAATCTGATGTCCAGGCTTGCTGCTGTCAACTTCTTCCTTGGTATCGTCGGTGTCGTCCAGGTCACCCGTATCGTTCAGTACCGCCGTAGCTTGGATGGCTCTACCACGGAGGCTGTGAAGGATCTGGAGAAGGAAGTGGTTGATGATGCCAAGGCTGTTGCTGCTACCGCCGAAGCCGCTGTCAAGAAGTCGGCTTAAATGTCCCTTTCTGGGCGACCGAGAAGGGGGTTTGATCATGTAAGCTGGACACTCCGTCAAAATTAGATTAGATTCCTTTCCTCTCTTCGGAACATGGTATTGTCGGTGTACCACTCGGATGGTCTAAAGAGCAGCGACCGAGGAAGCGCGGGGGAATCCCGCTAGGACTTTTTTCCTTTTACCATTTTGCGCATGTATATATTCCCATTGACTAGAATGAAAGATTTGAAGCTGAAGGGCGATTTCAACAAGCCATGCAAATAGTGCTATATGGACCTCAGCCGACGGTGCACTGCTGCAAAGTGGAAGGAGGAAAATGTGCCTCGATTGATTATGTGTTGCTGCTTCTGTGTCTGCGCCGGCGAACAGCTCAGTGATGTCTGGCTTGAGACAATGTAGCGGTCTGAAGTAACCCGCGCAAAGCTATTCCTAAAGATGGGGAATGGAGAGGTAGAGCTGGTCACCTGAGTGGATATCATATGTTTTGCTCTCCTCCACTTTTCATTTCCCCCTCTCCACACCTCCATCTGCTCATCTCCACCAGCTTATTCTTATCACACACCGACGAAGTACTCGTCATTCAGTCCTCAAGCCAATTCAAATTAAGAGTCGCAGAATGCCCCAGTACGGGTTCGAGTATCAACCCCAGGTCTCTGGATCCAACTGTCTTCAGAAACCCCGGGGATAGCGGGCCAGCGCAAGCCACCGCGGCCACTTGCTATGAAAGATAATATGGAAGAGAACAAACCCGACCAGCCATGCTGCAGGGGGAACAGCACATTCAAGGGCCACCGAGGACGCATCAATCTCCTGCTGGTGCCATTTTTCCCCCAATCGGACAATCGCAGCGGGAGTTAGCCCTCCTATCAAAGCGCCCGATCACTATAACTGCCATCATGAGCTTGGCTGTTGCTCCACGCTTTCTCCACACTCTCCGCATCGGCTGTTTTCATTTCCCCGGATAGATTCATGCCCAGGAAGACGCTTCCCCGCCTTGAGAGAGCCTGTGATGCAACGGGCCAGTGCACGCCCGGGGAAAATCTGGGAATATATAAACACAACACGGGCGGAGAATGGTTTGGCACAGCGGCCAGGTTCTCGTTAAAACTTTTCCCTCTATCTCCCCCAATTATTATTTCCCTGCGCTGTCAGTTCAAAAATGAGAACCTCGCATCTTCTTAGCCAGGCGCTCAGCCTCCTTGCGCTGGGCGCAACAGTGGAAGGCTTCAACCGCGACAGAAACCAAGCCTGCGGGCCTCACAAGCCCTTCCAGCCTCTGCCAACGAGCAAATCCAGAACTAAGACTTGCCATGTTCGCACTCATGGGGACGGATCCGACGATGCGGCGTACATTCTTTCTGCCATCAAGCAATGCAACAATGGAGGAAAGGTTGTCTTCGACGCCGACAAGGAATACATCATCGGCACGGCACTGGATCTCACTTTCCTGAAGCACATTGATCTTGGTGAGTTGATGCTGATCGTTCTTAGTTCTACCTGGCTTCTTTTTTTTCCGTATTGAGTCCATGTTATACTGACTATTTCTGACCCGGCCAACAGATATCGAGGGCACAATCCAATTCACCAACGACACCGATTACTGGCAAGCGAACGCCTTCCAGCAGGTCTTCCAGAATGCAACGACCTTCTTCCAGCTCGGTGGTGAGGACGTGAACGTCTATGGAGGCGGCACTCTGGACGGTAATGGTCAAGTCTGGTACGATCTGTACGCAGAGGACGCCCTTATCCTCCGTCCCATTCTGTTTGGCATTATCGGTCTGAATGGGGGCACCATTGGTCCGCTGAACCTGCGCTACTCCCCTCAGTGGTACAACCTCATCGCCAACTCGACCAATGTTCTCTACGATGGCATCAACATTTCTGGATATTCCAAGAACCCGTCC